CCCCCCCCCCCCCCCCCTTTCTGAAAAAAGTTCAAGGCTGGCAGGCAGTGCAGACCCAGGTTACATAAGACTCTTTGTTTTGAAAGGTCTTCATCTGATCCTTCATGCAATGAGGGTTCAGATTTTCATTTAATCAGCCATTTTTGAAGCAGCTGTTCACTTGTGTTTGGTCATGGCTATAGACCGCTTTTTCTGGCCAGTACAGGCAAAAATTGTCACTTCTGTCTGCACCCATGGCTTTTATTTAGCCTTAATCTATCCCTGTTTAACATCTTTTAAATTCCTCCATTATGCATACAAACAGAAATTGCATTTCTTCCAGGAGAAAGCATTTTGTCCCAGAATTCTACAGATCCTACATAGTCCATTATTCCACTGGAACTACCTGTGAAGGATGAGAGATTAAATGTGCTAACCCTTTTTCCCTGGGACAATACTGTGTAGGACTGTAAGTTAATCATTGTGGTCAGTTAATTGGGAGTCAAGATAACTGGCCTTGAGCTAGGTGCATGTATGAGTGGATCCAGGATTTTGTCAAGTGGGGTGAGGGAGCAGCGACTAATGCTGCAGGGATGGCTGCATCCCTGCTCCCAGCTTTCCCATCCTGCTGCACAGTAGGATGGGCAGAACACGTCATAGCAGCAACAGCTAGGGTCTTTTTTAAAGTTCCCAAATCAGGTAAGAATCTACCCCGCCCCACCTCACTCTCAGCACCTGTTCCTTTCTCCTCCATGCTCAGTGGCGTATCCTTTCCCCTCTCCTTCCCACCACTGTTGCTATCTCCTCCTGCCTTAGGGGCAGAGGGAGCTCCAGGGCTGCTGATTCAGCTGGGCTGCATAGAAAGCTGGGATCAGCTGAGAATGGTGTCAGTGACAGTGTGTGGGTTCCCCTCCTGGGCTGGCAGGGAACATCTGGGGGACCAGACAGGGAAAAGGAATCCACCCACCAGTGCTGCCACTATCTGTGGCTGAACCCAACTCCTCACAAAGGAGTGGCTCTGAAGGTCCCCCACCTCTGGGGCAGCTAGATACAGTAGCAATAGTGGGTGGTGGGGAAGGGATAGGAGAGGATGGAACATGCTGCTGGATGCTACAAAATTCATTCCTGATGCAGGGACTTAAAAAGGTCCTTGGCTGCTGCTCCAGTGTTGTGGACTGAAGGGGGTGGGGGCAGGAGGTCATCACACCACTGCATCTCTTCTGGATTCACCCTGGATGCGTTGAATACAGAGCAGCCAACACAATGGCATGGAGCTATCTATAGTAACCAACACGCAATGCTAAGGAACAATGATATGTCATGTATCCTGTCCCTGTCTGGAGCTTAGACGCCTGCTCTGCCAGTAACCTCTCCCTCTACTTGGGGTTCCTAGTCTGGAACCCAAGATATCCAGAAAGTTAGGTGCCTGGGGGATTTTAATGCTGGAAACGTGAAGTTTAGACAACCCCATGGTTAAGCAGTAGCTGAACAGAAATTCTGAGGATTGCAGTTTTGGATTTAGGTAGGATTTAAAATCTTAAATCCTTTATGGATCTAGCCCTTTGGGTCTTTCATGAGGATGAAGGTGGACTTCTACATTTAAAGCAGAATAACACTGAAAACAGAATGCTAGTAGTACACACCACAGAAACTGAGAAGATAGTAGAGAAGATATGCATTTATAACAGATTAAGTGCTTGAGAATATGTGTAATCCCAATATTCTTAGAGCCAAATTTTGCTTACCATATGCAAAGCTCTAAATGAAATCAATAGGTACTATCTAGGTTAGGAATAATTTGAAATAACTAACCTTTTTAATATTCAAGGTAGTATGCATCCTTGCTGAAATTGTCTTGCATGTAATATTTCTAAAAAGCACATTTCAGGCTAAATTTGGGGTTTTTACATTGAACTCAGCTAGGAAGATGATGCTCTTGGATTTGCTTCCTGGATTGGATGACTGATGTCATCATTTTGAATGAATATTGTACAACTGCACGCAGTATAATAAAGAGTTATTACAAAACCTTACAGTTGTGAGAGCTCCTTCAGATCCTTAAATAGATATGGAGGAAGTGATTCAATCTTGTTGTTAGCCAGATCTCTGTGGAAACAAGCCCAGATATAATATCATTAGTTGTTAGTGGATTTTTCTAATTATACAGAGAAGCATTTTAATGTTAAGGGCTTTCACAATTTGACTCTTTTCTTTCAATTCTTTGCCAAAGAAAATGATAAGTTATTACACAGATTATCAGAAAGGATGATGCTAAAATGTAAGATGAAAGAACTTAAAGCCCACTGTGTCTCAGTATTTGAGACACATAATTACATACAAGGCTTCTTGGGGTGTTTTCTTTTACTCTTATCCTCTCATTTTATATTCTTTTTCTTTCTCTTTTTGATTTTACACTTCTTTCCCAATCAGATTAGTAATGATGTTGGAGAGACATATTACAGGACATTTCTTGCTTAACCTGACCAAATAAGTTAATATATAAAAAGGGTAATAGATTATAAAAAACATATCAATTATATTTGTGGTATATGTTTAGTCTGTTTTGATTTTAGTTCTCTATTTCCAGTGCTTCATTGGATTGGAATAAAACTCCTATCCAACTTCATAGGTTTCATAGACATTAGGGCTGGAAGGGACCTCAGAAGATCTTCGAGTCCAGCCCCCTGCCCCAGGGGCAGGAAGTCAGCTGGGGTCATAGGATCCCTGCAAGATAAACATCCAAATGTCTCTTGAAGGCATTCAAAGTAGGTGTTGAACCACCTCCAGCAGCAGCCTATTCCAAACCTTGGGAGCTCGGACAGTAAAGAAGTTCCTTCCTTACGTCCAACCTGAAATGGTCATGGAGGAGTTTGTGACCGTTTGATCTTGTCATCCCTTGGGACACTCTGGTGAACTTATAAGTGAGGCAGGATTTTAAAAACTGTAACTGTGGATGTATTAGATAGCAAACAACAACCTACCCCACCCCCCCACCAAACTCCAGTAATAGATGTAATATTTATTAATAATGAAGGTTTTCTACTAAAATTTGAAGAATCACCCTAGTTTCAGCTATGGAAAAATATGCCATAATTTAAAAAATATAGGAAAAGTACCAGCACCTTCTTCAAAAGATGAAATGAATCAATCAACCACAGAGATATAAATAGATATTTTTGTACCCTGTATGGGAAGAACTGGAGAACAGGGCTGGGTGGGAGAAAGAAGGGGAGAAGCAGCACAGCACTTATCTCTTATCTTACACAGGGGCTTTTGCAATTGCTGTGTCAGGGTGGGCTGCTGTTGCCATGGGATGAGCTTCCTGAATATAGGCTGCTGTGGTGACACAGCTTCCCCGTTCTGGCAAGCTTTAAAAAATTGGCACCCAGGGCTTTGGCATCCACACTTTGTTATGCTGTTGACCAGCAGTATCAAATAAAACACCTGATTTCAATGGAAATGTATTCACTTTCATTGGTGGAGAATCTGTTCCTTGATTTTTATCCATCCACCAAAAAATCATCATCTCTGAGTGTGACTGTGCAATACCTGTGCTATAGGGAAACTCTTTCTTGATTAAGAAGCATCAAGAACTGATGTTGCTAGATATATTAAAAGTTCTCTCACTATAATCTTCTCATTAATGTTAACCCAATCAAATATTAAATAATGTGTAGTAGTCAGCCAGATTGTTCTCAGCAAGTGAGAAGTCCAAGTCTGTGATAACCTTGAGAGTATTTTTAAAAACCATTTCTTATATAGAGCTACTACTTCTTTCTAGTGGACCCTCTATGACATGTTTTTATACAGGGAACTCAATGGTTTTGTAGATGAAGACACACCCTTCATGGATTCTGCTCTATTATGTATTTTAATTATTCTATTCACCATATTTATGTAAATGTAAGACAACCCCTCAATAGGCAGATTCTATGTATGGAAAATTCCTAAATTTGTTATAGGTATAAAATCTAAATATTGGAGGTTTGCCTTGAATTTGTCTCCTCCTCACTGCTCCAGCAGGGAAAATGAACCTGGGGATTTGAGTAGCCCCTTTGCCATCTGCCCCTTCCCAACTTCCCCCTGAAGATCCTTCCTTACTGTCAGACCCTACTGTCTCTTAAGCACATGGAAATAAGGACAAATTTGAAAACACTGACCTTGAAATAAACACAAACAGTTCATTCAGAATGGATGCATTTACCTTTTTAGAAACTACTGTAAATTTTAGCACAGGCACTCCATAAACACACTTTTAAGTAGTACTTTTCTACTTACTTATATGTAGTAAAAACTATGCATGATATTGGTCCAAAGCCAAAAGGCTTATATAGTTCATTGGGCTGGGCCCTTATCAGTGTCCACAGCATTTCAAGCCATGGTGACCCCACAGCTCAGCATTATTTTCAGTATGTGTGTGTACTTCAGATATCCACCCCTCCTCCCCCCACCCCCCCCAAAGGATCCATGTGCTAATTAGCCCCCAACTCATGAGTGGAACTGGATATTCTTGTCACCAGTCCTGGGATCCTCCAAAAATGTATATGCAGTGAGGCCTGGGGCAACCTGGGCCAGCTCCACCTTATGGAAGTTGGGCCACATCAGGCTGAGAGAGAGGGTGACAGAAGGATTTTGGGTGACCTGTTTGGGGCTCTATTTAGTGATGCCTGCCAGACATTTAAGGCTGATGAAGAAACAGGCATCATTGGAAACAAGAAAGAAAGGCACAGCTCAGCTGTGGGATTACAGGGGGAAGTAAAAATATATTCAATGTAGTGGCTCACCATGACTTGAAAAAAGAGTCAGCACCAAAGGGAACTGAGTGCACTGAGCACTCTCATATATCTTATTTACATGGGCTGCACTAATCTTTCCTTGTGATAGGTTCCCATCATCTTGTTTGTCTAATATGGGCCATATGGTTTAAAGTCATGCTCAGTATTGGCTGCACTTAATCAGCTTCCTAGTTGGTTTCCATTATTGAGCACATGCTGCTTTTGGCAGCTAACAATGTATTTAATGAGGTTTTCTTGCATGCAAATTCATGCTGGCTGGGGAAAAAAAATCCCGTGTCTTGTATTTGAGTAAATACAATGAATGACAGTGAGGCTGGGAAGTTTCTCTAAAGACTGTTATGTAAAAGTTAGTTAAATAATAAACTTACAGTTCATCTAACTTCTGGAGAGAGGAAAAGCTATTTTCATTTAAAGAGCTGATTTTATTTCTTCTCATCACCCTGAAAGGATAAAAACAAACATATGCTTCAACTTTCTGAAGGGTGTCTGTTTTCTGAGAAGCCTAACATTGTAAAATAATTCCTTTTTTTCTATATAAGATTGCATATTCTTTTATCTGTATCTTATTTCATCCAATTTAATTGTTCACTGAATTAGCAATATCCCCAATTATTTAAACTGATATTCTATAAATATTATATTTCTACCTGTATATGTATATGTACATGTATATGCATATTATATGTCTATGTATATGTATATATGCACATCTGTAATATATATATGTGCACTGTGTGTGTGCATGTGCACTATATGCATAAATACACTTTCAGTTGTATTTTCATCTACTGACATTTAGAGCGACTCTGAAATGTTAAGTATTTTGAGATGATGTATGCCTTAGGGGACCTTGAGGGTATTAACTACTACTTATTTGAGGATTCTGGATATTTTGGGAAGGATGAATGAACTTCTCTAGTTTTATGCAAAATGTATGAAAGTGCAAATGCAAAGTGCATATTCTTGAGAACTGCAATCAGCAAGGGCTTGATTCTACATTCTGTGTTCATCCAAAATATTCCACTGAGTGGAGATTAAATCACCAGGGTAGATGCACATAGGAAAGAGAGAGCCAAGTGAGAAAATTACATAGATGAGAAAGTAACACTTGCTAGAGGGCAGCTGAGAGACTCAGTAACAGCATGAGAGGGGAGGGGAGGAGAGTTCAGAATAAGATTTCAATATTTCTAAGGAAGTTTTTGGGTTAATCTAAAATGTCTAATTGCCAGCAATTTGCTTAAATGAAGATACTATTCCTGAATTTTGTCATGTATGTGGTCAACTTTTTCACATTTTTACATGGCTTATAAATCTCGATATTTGATGCTACTGCTCGAATCCACTTCAGTGGAGTTATGCTGCGTATACTAGGGTTAATTTTGCTATACAATTGGTTCTACTTTTTTGTGCTAAGTTAAAATGTAGCATTTTAATAATCTCCATTAGTTCCAAGCAATAATCAATATTTTGGAAAGTTTTGATGTCAGAAACTATTCTATATAATTTAATGATTGTTTACTACAGAGTTCATTCTGGCTGCCCAGCATGTACTATTACTTACAGTACAGTTAAAGTGCTGCAGGAGATGAAAGTGATGTTTCTAAGGTTACGTATATGGTTGCCTTCAAAGTCTCTGGGAGATAAAAAAAAAAAAAAAAAAAACAACACACAAAAAACCTTTCAATCACTGACAAAATTTAATTTAAATCAGAAACTTACTCTGAATTCCCTATTAAAAGAGAGACCTCAGTAGAACCTTAACACAGAACAAAGGATAACAGTAGTCTTACGAAAGGCAAGGTAGGGTAGCACCTTAGAGACTAACTGGTTCAGAGAAGCATGTGATTTTGTAGGCTCTCACTCCCTGAGAACAATGAAACATAAACTCCTTCAGGTCAACTCCTTTAGCATAAACTGGAATCCTGAGGTTAGGGTTTTGCCAGTTCAGAAAGGATAACTGGAATTTGTATGCTTGGTTTCAGGAACTAAGGGCTGATTTATGACTGCTCCCAAGTGCATGCTTGAGAGGAAAGAACTCAGAGTTCCCAGTCTCTAGTGCCTCTGGCAAACCATGACGGCCACATCCAGACGAGTGAGTATGTGCCTGTTGCAGCGTCTCAAAGTGGTTTGAGATGATGCAAAAGGTATGCTAGGAATGAAAAAAAATTCCATGCTGCATATTCGCACTGTGGACTCTAATTTTGATACAGTTTGACAGTTAAAAGTGGGCCACCACAACAAGCATATCTTCCAGGTGATAGCTGCCCAGATGGCAGAGTGGGGGCACATGACAGCAGTGCCACCCAAAGTCTAACTGTGCAGCCATGGCCCACTGGCAGCTGGCCCAGAGGTGCAGGTGGCTTTGCTACAGTGCCCATACCACAGCCCAGGCAGCCGTGTGGTCCCCATCCAGGTTTGGCAGGCGTGCAGACATGGGGCCACCGGTCCAAGGGGTTGGATGCGGTTGCAGGTGGCAGCAGGTCACAGACAGCAGCAGCCCCCACTGCCAGACTGCTGCAGCGGGTAGAGTGGCCACTCCAGGTTAGAGCTATTTAAGCAGTCCAGCTGGCACACATGGCTAGTGTCCCCAGATACCAACTGGCCAGCTCCTGAGGGTAAGTAGCCCTGAGCTGCTTGCCAGGGCAGCTTTTACACTGCTGGGGCCAGCACAGGTGGACTCTAGCTCCCCCTGGCCGAATATCTGGGAGGAGCTGAGCAGGGTCAGTTTGCCCCAGGTGGCACAGTTTGCCCCACACCAAAGTGCATGTTCAGGCACATGTGCTGAGGCACAAACCTCTGGCACAGATTTGTGCTGCTGCTATTTGAGCTGCTGCAAGCACATGTGCCTGCATGTGTGGATGCGTCCAATATATCTTTTACTGCAACAGTGGCAATGGTTTTACTTGTTGCATAGTAGCTGCAGCATAAATGATACTTTTCATAAAGATGAATCAAGGTTTGCTATTGAATATGCTTGGTGGTTATATGGGCCTGATCTAGGAAAGCTTTTAAACGTAGGCTTAACCTGAAGGCTAGGGACAGAAATTATACCTAAACCGGTATACATGATTGGAAAACCATTAAAATTTGTAACACAACAGAAATTCAGTGCACATAAACCACTTTCAAAATGGCCAAAAGTAGTTTAAGATAACCCTAGATGGATATAATATCAGACTTAGCTGATTTAGATTAAATCAGTTTATTGAACATCTGTCCCAGACCCCCTCCAGATTCAAGTTAACTTGCTTTGCACCTCCCCTGCAAACCTCCCTCACAGGATGGGTAGGTTAGCCTTGGCCCAAGCTGTCTGCTTCAGTTGAGCAGGGCTGTGTGTTCTAGCACCCCTTGGCTTCTGACCTGGGCCACTGCAGGCATCTGGCTGCATTTCTGGAATCAAAAGTGAATGCATGTTCACTTCCTTATCAATTCAAACTATGTAGCCTAGAATAACCTGTGAAGATTGAATCGATTCAGCCTCAGGCCTTTTGATTGTCTGTATTTAGCTAAAGTATTTAAATCATTTTATTGGATTGGGACTTATGCCTGCTCTTGACATATACAGAATGAATGCCTTCAGCCAACAACAGAGGCAACACTGGCTCAAAGAGCTGTAATTGTATTTACAACATTTTAATGTTAGAAACATTTTAAAACTGTTTATATTCAATTAAAATGAAAGTTCTTCTGCTCACTGTTGGGAGGTATAAGGCTCATATCTTAAAAACTGTTCCATCCTTATTCCTTCCATCCCCAAATTGAAACAACATAATCGGTTGGCATTTGTATCAAAAGCAATTTATAAAAAACAAACACAGTATCAGAGCCCATGCAAGGGAGATAATTGTTATGGTATCATTTTATCATAACATTTCTGGGACAAACTGTCTCCTGGCCCTCTATGGCTAGCTGAGATAAAAACAAACAAACAGCGCTATAGAAATGAAAGGAGAGATTTCTGCTCTTTATCATTCCCCTTTCTTATATTTAACTTAGGGCTGAATTAAGTGTTATGGAACACCATTGGTTGGTTTCAAGATGATCAAAGTTTCTTTTCCAAGTAAAATAAAACTTACAGCCAGTTCAGTCTGGGCATGTATTGGCACAGAGATTTATCAGGTAAGCGAGAAAGAGAATTATGCATCAGCACTCTGGAAAAAGAAAAAAAGCCAGTATTTCATGATGTATTTGCAGTAATTAATATTAAAGAACAATGTCTCTTTTGCAGTTTTTTCCCCTTCCTAATACAACATGGGCAAGATTTATTTGTTTCTCATGATATTAGATGTAATAAAATGATTTTTGGTGGGATCTTAACTTCTCCTGAATTATTCAATGAATAACTTGGCAAAGGGAGCTTCTTTTGCAACTGTCTACTGGTATAGTCTGGCCCTTTGTATCACTGGAGTAGAATACCGCAGCTGAAATGTCTATGTGAAGTTGGTTCTACATGCCTTTTAAAAATAAACCTAGAGTCTGACTGTTCCCTCAGTGAATCAACAGCAAGCTTGCATCAACTCTAATGGAAAGGGATTGGGTTCTTGATTATATTTAACAGCAGGAGTTGGAAGCTGATGTATTGAAAATATCACAATTAAAAAATTCTGGTTTTGTTGGACAGCTGTTTTATTTTTCAAATTCCTCTAACCTCCAGATCAAACTGAAGTTTTCCTTACTCTCCTGGGGTATTGTAAATAAAGCTGTTTGAAGCTTGAAATTTTAGTTTCATGGGAAATTTCCAACATTTCAGAATTTGTTTTCACTCCAAATCAGAACTAAAACTGCTGTGTGTGAAATTTCCCATGAAACAGAAATTCAAAATGCTCTGCTTTGAAAGCTTTACTTCAATAACATTTTTTTAAAATTTAGAAATATATTATTTTGTTTGGATTTATTATGTATATTTTCATTACATTTATTTTATTTCATATCAATAGTAGTAAAGCATAATTTATATACCCAATATGACAAGGTATAACACAGTAGTCAAACTATTAGGTTCTTTTACTTTATTTCTTTGAAAACATTACAGGCAGGTGCTACTTAATACAGATTGAAATATTTTGATTCCTAGGCCAAAGTATCTGCTCTGCTGTTTGTGTTCTAAACACCAGTTTGATACTTTCAGCAAGAAAACTAGGACTCACAGTAGACTATTTCTACTGTGCATTAATGCCATAGCACGGCTTTTGCTGTAATGTACTAATGCAAAGTAGAATTAGTCTATTCTGCATTTAGTGTCTTGTGTAGGTGTATCCACTATTTGTTAGAGGAGCAGCTGTATTCAGTATCTTGTTATCCTAGACTCATTTTTTCATTTATCATTAGTGATTTAGAGGATGGTATTGAGTGCACACTAGAAAACTTGCAGAGGATGCTCAACTGGACAGAGTTGCAAGCACTACATAAAACAGGATTAGGATTCAGAATGACCTTGATAAACTGAAGAAAGGTTCAAAATGAAATACAGTAAGGACAAGTGCAAAGTTCTGCATTTAAAAGGCATATATATGGATTGGGGAATAAGTGGTTAGGCTGTCAGTATTGCAGAAAAGAACCTGAGAGTAACAGTGGACCATGAGCTGAATGAGTCAACACTGTGCTCTTGTTGCAAAAAAGTCAATAGCATACTGGGTTATATTAACAGAGGTGTTGCTTCCAAGTCAAAGGAAGTGATTATTCCACCTATTCAGTACTGGTGAGGCCTCACATGGAGTACTGTGTCCAGTTTGGAGTGCTGCACTTAAAGAAATATATGGACAAATTGGAAAGAATCCAGCAAGGAGCAACAAAGATGATGAAAGGTCTAAGAAACATTATTTAGGGGAAAAGGTTGGATGAACTAGGATTATTTAGCCTGGCGAAGAGAATATTGAAGAGGATTCGATACCTGAAGGCTAGTTATAAAAAGGATGGAGATAACATTAATTCTGTTTTCTTCCATGGCTGGAGGGAACAGAACGAGAAATAATGGTCTTGAATTTCAACAAGGGGAATTTAGGTTGGATATCAGGAGAAATTTCTAATGTGGTGAGTAATTAAGCATTGGAACACACTACCTAGAAAGACTGTGGACTCTCTATCTTTGGTAGTTTTTAGAACAGTGTATACAAATGCTTGTCTGGAATGGTTTACACAGAGATGATCCTGCCTTGAGCAAGGGGTTGGACAAGATGACTACTTGAGGTCCCTTCCAGTCCTATTCTTCTCTGATTGATAGGATTTCTAAGACATTGATCTTACATCTCTAATTTTAAACTTCAGCATTTCCTTGAATTTACCTTTTGCTACTACTGCTTGTTACCATATAGAATGTACAATATTATCATAGTTTACAGCAAAAAACTATAATATACACACGGTGAATGCTCTGAATAAGAATATATGAACAACAGTATTTTGCATTTTTATCCAAGGATCTTAAATATGAACTAAGGTATTTCAATAGCATTGCTATTTACATAGCTATATAGAATCATAGAAAATTAGGGTTGGAAGAGACCTCAGGAGGTCATCTAGTCCAACCACCTGCTCAAAGCAGGACCATTCCCAACTATATCATTCCAACCAGGGCTTTGTTTAACCAGGCCTTAAAAATCTGGAAGAATAGATTCCACCACTGCTCTAGGTAACCTATTTCAGTGCTTCACCACCCTCCTAGTGAGATAAATTTTCCTAATATCCAATCTAAACCTCCCTTGCTGCAATGAGACCATTGCTCCTTGTTCTATCATCTCTCACCACTGAGAACAGTCTAGTTCCATCCTCTTTGGAACCACCCTTCAGGTAGTTAAAGATTGCTATCAAATCCCCTCTTAGTCTTCTCTTCTGCAGACTAAATAAACCCAGTTCCATCAGCCTTTCCTCATAAATCATGTGCCCCAGCCCCTGAAACATTTTTGTTGCCCCTCGCTGGACTCTCTCCAACTTGTCCACATCCTTTCTATAGTGGGGGGTCCAAAAGTGGACACAGTACTCCAGATATGGCCTCACCAGTGCAGACTACAGCAGAATAATTACTTCCCTTGATCTGTTGGCAACACTCCTACTAGTGCAGTGCAGTATGCTGTTAGCCTTCATGACAAGGGAACACTGCTGACTCATATCCATCTCATTTGTCTACTGTAACCCTCAAGTCCTTTTCTGCAGAGCTGCTGCCCAGTCATTCAGCCCCCAGCCCATACTGGTATATAGTGCAAGACTTTGTACTTGTCCTTATTGAACCTCATGAGATTTCTTTTGGCCCAATCCTCCAATTTGTCTAGGTCACTTTGAGTTCTAGCCCTACCCTCCAGCGTATCTACTACATTTCTGAGATGGTGTCATCCTCAACCTTCCTGAGGGTGCACTTTATGCCATCTTCCAGATCAGTGGTGATGCATAGGGGGTATATGGGGGTGCACATGCACCCCCTGAGAGCACTGGTGCACCCCCTGACAGCCAGCATTCCCCAGTTAGGCGACAGGCAGGGGGGCAGGAGAGAGCACTGGTGCCCCCCCTGAGAGTGCCGGCCAAGGAGTGGGGATGCCAGGGAACCGATCCCCACGGTCCCACTGTGGCTGATCGTGCTGACCGAGGGGTGGAGGTTCCCCTGTGGCTGATCATGCTAACCCGGAAGTGCCAGTGCAATTGGCCATGGGGGGACCCCTCCCCGGTTGCTGACTGGCTGCTAACTCAGGAGGCACCAGGAGTCACCAGTCGCCTGACTCAGGAAGCACCAGTCGCCCATGTTTCAGATCAACATTGAATAAGACCAGTTCCGGAACTCACCCCTGGGGCACTCCATTTTATACCATGAAACAACCTCATAAAAGTTAAAGCTATTGTAAGGTAAAGCACTGTTCCTAACAAAATGGATACAGAGAAATATCACTCTTTTCCAGCCCTTTCCAGACATACTAGACAAGTTGTTCTCAACCATTTTAGACTCAAGGCACTCCTTGTTTAACTCAAGGCACCCTACCACAACTTTTATGAATTGAGTAGAACCCCATTTCAAAAACTACATCTATTTATTATAAGCCATATCTCTTTGTAGAGGGCAGTAGAGGCCAGGCAGTGATCAGGAAGAGGCAGGCCTGAACCTGCATTTAACTCTTCACATCTGCTTATTTACTCATACCTTGAGACACCCTTCAAAAGATTTCATGGCACCCCAGGGTGCCATGGCACACTGGTTGAGAATTGCTATGCTACACACTTTGGTTTTTGGTTTCCAAATTATCCGGCTGATAATCTGGGATATCAGACATGTTTGCTTTTATAAGCAGATAATTATGTGCATTCTGACTGGTCCTCCTGTGTTTTGTTTTTTTTATAAAACAAAGACATAACTTCAAGTCTGCTCCTGTTGATTTTAATGAGTCCGGATTAACCCATGCTCTTTAGCACTTAAAAATACTGGAGAAGCCAGGTTCCAAAAGGGTGCCTCTGTTTCCAAAGAAAAGAAGCTCTACTACCTGAGACATATGGCAATATTGCTTGATAAACAGATGGGCACAATCTTTAACATACACCCTTGTTTTAATCTATTCTTTATTTTGAATATTCCATTTAATACTTACAGGAGAATAAGTGACTTGAGTCCATAGAAACTCAATGGAGAGATTCTACTGATCCTGTTATTTTCAATTATCCTATTATTCAGAACAAAGTATATATCAGCTTGATAAATACTAGGGTTTTAAATCGGACAGATGTTAAAAATAACTTCCCCAAACTAATATTCTTCAAATAACCCTTCAAACTACATGCAAAAATTGAATTACTATATCATAGCATCTCAAGGTAGAATATTCATCAAATGCACTATTTCCAATATAGTTTGAATGAGTATGTGAAAGATTTTTTTACCTAAAGAACATAAAGCAATTTTCTTGTCAGTTTTTTAAATAATTTGATTAGCATTTGGTCTCCAAATATATAATTCTTCCAAAGCAGCAGTATATCAAAATTAGACAATCTTTCAGTTGAAAACACAGTAAAAATTAGTCACAGAGTCATAAAACAGACATCTGTGTTATTAATTCCTTCAAATCTCAATGTTATTTTTTCCAAATGCCAGACATTAAATGGTATTTAATTTCCCTCTCTCTAGAAAGCAGTAATATTGTCAAAATGTCATATTATGAATGCTATCTCTTCTGTGGGATTTCAAACACTGTAAACAGGAAAAGGACTTCCCATGAAATTCTTATTTCTATCTTATTTATTTCATTACTTTTTTATAGTAAACAATTATTTATAGAAAAAGGTCAGAGTCTTTAATTAGAACAATTAAAGCCCGATGACCTGACTCTGTTTTCACCAAAGTCTAAAGGAATTGTTTCCCACCAGGAAGAGAAGTCCCTTAATAATTATGTGGGATAAAAAGACATGGCTCAAATTAAACAAAACCAAATGATGACAAATAAGAATGAAAATATTTCTGTGTTGCCTTAACTATATCTTGAAAAAAATGTATGCAAAAAAAGCAGTACATACAGCCACTGAAGTTTATTCAAATCTTCAAAGACACCAGGCTTTAAAAAGGTTATCTTGTTGTGACTCAGATACCTGAAACAAGACGAATAAACACAGCAAATAACAGAATGCCTAATCAGTGTCAGAGAAGTAAAAATGGGTCTTAAGATTGAGAAAGTCATTGTAATGCAGAAAGATATTTCTCAAAATGAAAATCCATTGTTAACAATGAAAACATTTACATTTTTGTGACTGTTCTCTCTTTCAGAAAGCTAGCATATGCCATGATATCAACCTGGTCTTCTGCATAGGCTGCACAATTGTTACGAACGAGAGTGGAAATACAGTCATTTGAAACTTTCTGGGTGATGATTACTTAGCATTTTCTATCTTTTTTTTAATGGCACTAGGCAAACCATTCTCCGTGCGTCAGAAGCATTTTGGGCTTTCTCCAGTTCCTACTGAACTGAAAAGGCAAAACTCCCTTGGATGTCAGTAGGAGCAAATTCAATGTTCAGTGTTGCCTAAGGCAATGCTGCATAGCTTTAGATATCAAAAGAAATTGAAAAAAGATAGACTAAAGAGTGCTGCAAAGTGGCTGGAGTAGAAAGACTTTATTTATTTGCATACTGCACACACTTGTATAGGACATGCTCCTTGTTTTATACACTAACTGGTTCAGAGTGGCATAAGCTTTCATAGGCAACAGCCCACTTTATCAGATTCTATCACTTATGAAAGCTTATGCCTCTCTGAACCAGACAGACGCTAAAGGTACCACCCTGCTATGCCTTCTGCCTGATTTCACACTAACACAACCAACTATCTCTTTCTCTCTTGTTATAGGAAGGCAGAATGAAGTAGAAAAAGATTTTTCCAGAGTCTTTCCTGCCAAGGTACTAGATTAGCTAGGGCTCAACCTTCCAGGTACATGGAGCAGGGATAGATTCTTATTGTCAGTGTCATTCCCCACTTCCCCTTGCTGTGTGACCAACACAGCTCATGCCAATTCAGCAGTGGCTGTGAGAGGGTTAAACCTGTAGCTGCACTGGCCCCACAGAGGGGATGGGGAGTGGGAGGGGAAGAGCAACTGATAGAAGTCTGCCCCTGCCCCTACTCCACGTGGCTGGGATGTTCAGGCCTGGTGGAGCCAGTAGTGAGCACAGCTCCCATCATCATTTCAGCACACTCAGTTCCTCCCTCCCTCCCCCTCCTACCATTCTGGCATGAAAATCAGTTTCCTTGAATGACATGCACACCAATTTTGGATGGCTATTTGTGGGGGGGGCAGGGGAATGTGCATTATATAAGTAAATACAGTAATAATGGTTTTTTTATCCAAATGTGCAGTGAAAAAAATATCAAAGACTAAGGATAACAATATATTAGGATTTTCCCTTTTAAACCATTTCAGTGAACAGGTTCAGTTTTTTTAATAAAAATAAAAGTATTTTTAAATTGCCCATTGCATCTGTTAGGGCGAAGAAAAAGGCAGTATATTTTCCCTACCTATATGATTAGTTCTTTCTAATAAAATAAGATGGTAAAGAGCTTCCAATGATCTCAAGTTAATATGGCAGCCTAGTATTTTTATTTACTCTTAATTTCTAGTAAGTTGATCAAGGAAGGCTGGAATTTAAAGTCAGTGGGGTTTACTCTTTTACTCTTGAAAGTATTAACAATTTTGAGGACATAGAGGCAGTACAAAATCTCTGAGGCATTTTTAGGGTCCATTGTTGCCAAAAGCTTTGAATAGGTCAAAATCTTCTGATGTCCTTATTCTCTAAATTAAATTTTGGAGTTCCTTATTTAGCACCTTTTGGAGTTACACAATAAATGAAAAATAAATATAGTTATTCCCAAAGCTGACTTTATTACACTTTCCTTCAGTACCGCGATGGTGATACTTACAGCTTTGTCAAGTTGTATAAACCCCTGAAAGCATGTTCTGATACATTTCTTATTCTATTATTCTGAAGATACCTATGAAGATATAATAATGTCAACAATTATATTGCTAAACATACAAAAGCAAGCACCCTGCCAAAAAAAAAGCAAAAAGAAAGAAGCCTACCCACTAAATTTAAAGGATATGTATTATTTGAAAACTTGTCATCAAGACTTTTATGTTTTAACTACCCTTACAAACTCCCCATACATTTATATTGAAAAGATTTGAAAGACCTATTCACAATTTTAAACAAATTGTTGAATCATTGGTAGTTAAAACCATACAAACCAACATCTGATTTGTCTTATACAGAGCACATCTGCATGTGCAATTAATGTGAAACAATAAACTCTGGTGCATATTGCACTGGAGTTCATTGCTCCTGGGTGTACCATTTGAACGTGTGCCTGGGACTTCAGCAAGTTGAAGCAGGTTGGAGCAGCCTCAACTGGCAGGGGTCTCAGGGGTCAGCCTGCCAGACTGTGGCTGCTCCTGCCTGGCTCAATGTGCTGCGGAGGTGCTGGCTCGGGCATGAGGGTGCTGTAGTGTGGGGCTAGCCGGCAGGCAGCTGAAGTACCCTCATGCCCTAGCCAATTGGGTCAGTGTGTCTACATGTGCTTTATTTACAAGTACTATCCTGCTGCAGAGTTTATTAGTTTCCTGTGGCCTAATAGGGCTGCACAGGTAGAAGCTGAGATGTTTACTGTGGAGCTAATAGGCAGCTCCTCTGTAAATATCTCATTTAGATATGCCCACAGATAATAAAAATACATGCATCCTGTCTCCTGTGTTAGACCCCAAGTATGACCTTCTGGATAAGATGTTAGGTTTGAAAACAATACTGTGTTTCTTTGTTCTGTAGAAGTCCTTTTTTGTCTTTGTTGTAAAAAGAAAATATATCTTCATTAAAATTAAGTAAAGGGCCAAATCTTGCTGGTCAAGTTAATGGCAGATTTGACAGTGACTAATAAATATAGGATTGGACTCTATAATATCTTGTCATTTTAACTGGACGCTCCCTTCTGAATCCTAAGTGAACGAAGGAAATTAAATTATGTAAAGAAATGTTTCATGTATGTATGTTTCTTTTAAATGGAAGGATCCCATTGTTTACAGAATTGTCTGAGTTGGTAAGGGTACTTAATTTTGTCAACACAAGATGGTGCTGCAGTACATCGGAATACTACATACAAGTTATAATTTCCCTGGGCTGTTCTTAGATCCTAAATTGTGTCTTGAACAGACAAAAGCAGAGCGCTTTTTTATACCTTGTATCTCAATTGTCTGTTATTTTTGCATCATTCAACTTCATTCAGGACTAGGGTTTCTTTAAATAAACATTACACATAAAATGCAAAAAATAATTCTATCAAAGATTTTTAATGTAAATTATAAGCCATTTTATGATAGGAGATTGCTGTGTAGTGATCATCACCAGTGGTTCAGAAATATATATATTCAGTTTCCTTTCATTTTTAAAATATATTTCGGTCTATTACATTTCTGTTTCTCTCTCTCTCTCTACACGCACATCCCATTTAATTATATATTCAGAAATATATATACAGAAATATATTAAATGTTCTCAGCTACATGAATGATTCTATTCATGGCAAGAAATGCTTTTAACTTTGCAAAATTTCATTTTACTGAGGAAAATTGATTCAGTTTCCTTTCATGTTTTTTGATATATTTCTGTCTATTACAAATTTAATTTCCTTAAAACATGATGAATGTTAAGATACACTTCTATATTAGTTTTCTAGTACAGAATAATCCAGATGATGAAAATTTAATATTCAGAAAGTGTTTAAATTGAATATCCAGAAGACTTCCCTATAAAAATGGAGAGATGCCAAATAAGGCCATATGAACAAAAATACATTACATTTTAACTAAAGGTAAGGCAAAATAAACTCTTTTGTATGAACAGGGATTTTTTAGTAAGCCAAAAATCTATTTATTACAGTTTGTAGTTGATTTCAGGTTCTAGTTTAAAGTACTTCCTTACAGATTTTTAAGGTCCTGATACTTCTTGAAAACATCAGTTGAAAGCTTTCGTAACAGATTATATTGAAGGGACCTGCAACAAAAATAAAACTAGTCAATACATGTATGAAATGGGCTAAGTTCAATGTCAGTGTAAGTCCATTGGTTTCATTTTGTCCTAATAAATTTACATAGTGTTTTACTTGGCAGAAATGTCTATAATTAAATCTTTCCAGGAAGGTGACTTTGTGTGTCTGTATGTTGTAAACTAAATGGAGAAGTGTTTTTACATTTTATTTTATTATTATGTATTCCCTCTTCGTCTGCCTCTGTGTTATATTAAATTAATTTATCATAAACCATAGTGTGACTCAATTTAGAAAAGTAGTATGAGGCATGAATTTAGCCCATTGTGTTTGGAAAAGAAGTGCTGATTAAGAAAGGTTATATTCACTTTTTTACTATTTCAAGGTTTGCATTTTCACTTGATTCTTAAAATCACTGTTAAGACAACCTCTTTAACTATGCAGTTATATCAGATGCACACCTATGTAGGCACAGAAATATGCATGGAAGCACAAGTTAATCTTACTAACCCAGACTCAGAATATTCTCCATGTACATTTGACAGAAATATATTTGTGGTTGGTCAAAAGGCTTCCATATGGAAATGCACAAATTTACCAGCGGAGATCTCAGATCAATGTTGTAGGATATTGATTTCCCCTTTCATAGGGTAAATGGACTCCTCATCTTTGATGGTGCGTGGTTTCCTTTGAAAGTCTGCTGCTGAATGTTTCTTCATCTGCCAGGAGGGTTACACTTAAGTGACATGTACTACTGGTACACATCCCTCCCTGGAGGTTAAGTGAACTTGCTCTATAACAAGGGTGACCATATGTCCCAGTTTAGCTGGGATAGTCCTGGATTTCAGAGGCTGGTCCCAGCTAGCTGTTGAGAATTATAATGGGCATCCCAGAAATGCAAGGGCACAGGATGCAGTCTGGCTGGGAATCAGAGCAGTGCAGAGCACTTTGCAGGTAGGCAGGCAGGCACTACTGCCTGTCTGTCATGCACACAGCCCTGCCTCTGCCGACTTGTAAGAGCAGGTGTGGGGTGGGGCAGGGGGAGAGAGAGAGGGAGAGGGAGGGGGTGTTCCAGATGTCCCAGATTTCTGAGACTTCCATATGGTCAGCCTATTTATAGCATTTCCATGCCCCTTGGACCTAGTGAATGGGAGATATAGTATTTATTCAAATCAATGCAGGGGGAAAAAACCTCACCTTAGATTTGAGTACTGGCTTGGGGCAGGTTCTAGTTTTAGCCCTGAGCCCAGGGCCAAAGCTGGAGCTGAACCATTGCCTTCCCTGGGATTGAGGGGGTAGGGGCTTATGCAGTGGGGTAAGAGACTCGCAGCATGGGGACCATGGGGGGAGGACTGGAAGTTGCACTGTGCAGTCTGCCCCACAACCCTTATTTTCAGCTCTGGGTCAGACTACTCTAGCTCTGACCTGGCTGGGTCCAGAGCTGCCATCATTGTTTCTGCCTGGCCAGACTGGGGCTGGGCCAGGGCCAGGGCTGCTGGTACTGACTTTCTGGGAGCTGGAGCACAGCTGCTGCAGAAGGTAAGTGGCAGGAAGAATAGGAGGGATGGAGGAGAGGGAGGGGGATAGACACTGGGGGGGGGGACACAGGCAGGTAGGGGCAGGCATAGCATGGCAGGGCAAGGGGCAAATTTATAATTTTTCATGAATTTTAATTTTTAATTATTGGGGGGTCATCTTGGATTTGGGCTAATATGGTAAATACCGGGGCATGTAGCTGTGGACCCAACTTTCATGTTGCTTTCTAAATAGAAAAATTAGCATGAACAGTATTTTTTCTAGGAGCAGTGTAAATTGGTCTCAGAGTAGACTTGGCTCCACCATTGCCTGGTCATGGAACACCATTAGTTTTTAAAGCAGTACTAGAGTTGGGACAGCTAGATACACTTGATAATGCTATGACTTGTATTAAAAGGCTGGAGCAGGACAATGGTTTGCTCTGCTAAATAATAAAAGCTGAGTGGGTGCTTGCAGGAAATGAGCTGAACTTGTCAGAAAAGAATTGTGGCCCGTACCTGCTCCAAATCTAGTTAATGGTGATCCCAGAGCTGCATCACCACAGTGTCTGTGTTGGTGTCCCCTCTTCACTGACAAATGACACTATAGCCAAACCCAAGACTTCAAAGGCCTGAGGACAAACTAAAACTCAAGAGATTTATTTTCACCTGTAATGCACACAGTATCTGCCTCCCAGTGCCCCTGTTTCCATGTGTCCATGAGAGGTGCCACTGAACAGAAGTTTCATGTTTCGAAATGAGCAAGAAACCCTATAGGAACATTCCCTAGATTGGTATGTTTGCTGCTATCCCCTGTTTGTTGTATGGAAAACCCTACCTCAGACTAAGTCAAGACCAGTACTCTGGAATGCCTGGATGACCTAGGTCAATTTACACTGTTGTACTGACTTCACAACTGGGGTGTCTACACGAGATGCTAACTGTGCAGTGGCCTAATTCTATTGTGCAGTAGCGTGCAGGGCAAAACCCACGCTAATATGCTACTGCACAGTTGTATTATGTTACTGCGCAGTTAGCATCACTGAAAAGCTGTGTGCTGGTGCTACTGTGCAGTAGTGTCAGTTACTGCACATTGATTTAGTACTTGGTTATCCAAGTACTAAACTTAATGTGCAGTAACTATGGTGCATTAATGAATGTGTAGATGCACCCAGGAGGCAGTGAGTAAGTCCTTCTAGCCTTTATTCATACAGGTAAATCCATTAATTTCAATTTGTTTGTTGGTGTCTACAGGACTATTGGACTAAGTCTTACAGGATAAAGATAAGGTCCTGGTTTTGTGCAGAAGAATCTGTTGTGCAGTTCTTAAAACTGGTGAAATTGTACTCATCCAAGATAACCATAAATTATAGTTGACATAACTGAATAGTGTTGTAAGGCCAGATCCAGACTGATTACTTAGGTACCTCCATGTAGGTGTTACAATGCCTAAAAATGCCTGGGATCCCCAGAGGCAAGAGGGAGATTTAGCATGCCTATACCACAGATGCAACATGCAAATGGGATCTGGCCTTTACCTTATGTTTTATGCAGGAAAATCTACACTTTAATTTCACTCTGAAAGACTTCAATACAGAAAGATACTGGACTTTCATAAACATCAGTTAAGCCAAGTGTCTATAATTGCAAGGCTATAATTATGAGAGGCTCTGCAGAGTTGATATTCAAGTCTGTATAGATCAAGAAGCTGCTTGTTCTGCTCTACTTACATCATAGTCACATTTGAAGAGACTGAAGGGACAACGCGTAAATTGGCACCATTACAGTCAAGCTCTAGCCCTTGGCATGAACATTGTACTGGCACAGATTCGACCACTGAATGAAGAGGAGAATGTGGTGATGGCAATAGGTGGGATGATGTGATAGAGAAAGAAGAGAAAGGTTAGAGAATGATAATATTTAGCACAATGACATTTCATAGCACGCTGAACAAAAGTGGCTAATGTTTTAACTCAAAGTACTCAAGTACACACTTGAATTAGATCTAGTAGGACTGGTTAATATACATTTGTCTAGATAATTACAAAATCTGCATGGGCTTCTGAACTGGATATCATGGCCTGATGTGACAGTGCTTTATCTGACTGGTCTCCTATTTCTATTTCTGAATAGAGCAGTGCATTCCCACACCCCTCTATCCAGGTGCTGTCACATAAGTTTTTGCTTTTTTTCTGATGCATATTTGTCAGTATAAACAAAAGTAGCAAAATACGTTCATGAATATTTAATTTATTTAAAAGAGTGTCTTGAGATGAGGGAAATAGGATAAAAGATTCAAAGATTGAAGTTCATGATTAACTTCACAGCAACATGGAGGGGAAAAGTCTGTCCTTAGACTTGACCTCATTTATTTTGCTTTCATAACTCACATACTGTACCAAAGATAATGACACAGTTAAAAAAATTAGTTCTTGGTTGCTATTTACATTATATTCAGGTGGAAGAGATGGAAGAGTGAAATTGTCCTGGAAATTTAGAGCAAAGTATAAATTTTGGGGAAAAAATAAAATTGTAGGGCACCCAGGACCAAAACATTATACTGGTAGGTATTATTACAAGTGCAAAAAGTAGTGTATGACTGTGTGCCTACATTCACTTTATGCATTAATATTAAAAAACAACTTATATACATAAATGGAATTGTGTAACATTTTTATGCAGATGTGTGTGCACATTTTTCATGCACCCCATTTGAGAGCAAAAATATTAGCTCTCAAAATTCTACTGTTAGTTTAACCAAAATACTATACAACACTACAAGATGGATTAACATTCAGTGGTGTTTTAGCAATGTAGCTATTTATATACAATATAAAATAGTATACAATATAAAATATTGGATGGAAAAAGCAAAACAAAGCAGTGCATGCTATGGAGGTTTAGCACATTTGTGCACCAGATGGAAAGCCAAATTCAGACCAAATATATTTATTTGGCTTTCCCTGACCCCAAAATTGATCACAAAATACATCTGCCTTGAAGCTGCAAACCTGGGAACCTCTCAAGTGAGATTTAATATGTTGGTCAATTTCACTGCTCCTATTATCTGTGAAACTGACAAGAATGTCAGTTGTACTGGGCAGCTGCAGGATGCAGGGAGTTCTTGGTTTACTGTACATTCAGAAAAAACTGGTTTTAATCTCAATTAAAATCCAGATTAAAAAATTCTGAACATTTCTGCAAAATGGAAACCTGATTTTCAGCCAGTTCTAAGCATTATACAAGCTACCTGCAGTCGGGTAAAAAGCAAAAAACAAAATGATGAGCAATGGATTTATTTAGCTCAGGACATGTAGTGACCATTACTAAGAATTTAGAGCAAGATTTTTAAAGGCACTGCTCTAATCAGTATTCTGACACTCAGGCGACTTAGAACTTATGTTCTGTTTTCAAAAATGTCCTAACAATTTCCTTGAGAAGTGACTTGGGCTTCTAAGTGCCACAGTTACTTCTTAAAAATGAGACAATGGTGATAGGAGCAATGTCTACTCACCTTTAAATATCTGGATCTTACTATTTAATGGGTTATGTTCCTATAGTAGGAACACCTATAGAAATTGGCTCATAAGAAAGCAATAGGCCTCAATGAGAACTCCAGTAAAACTATAAATATGAGCTTCAAAATCTAGGTCAGAATTTTTGGTGTTAGATATAGTATAGCAAACTGCTAATCACAGCTCAGTTGGAAATTTATATATGTCTCCTGTCATAGCTAAATACCTTACTCATTTTGAACGAAGCCTACACCATTTGGGTTTCTTCTTCTCCCAAGTACACTTTTAACTTGTTTGATGAATGGTTATTGTGGGAAAACTAGATCAAAGAATTTTTTCCCCATTTTTTTTCTTGAAAGATGCACAGCTTATGGTCATTCCAATTTGTGAATCATATATAGTTATCTCATAAATGGTTTAGCTTTGATGTTTCCCATAGAGAAAATATTTATTTTTTCTACTGATTTACTTCTCCTAAGCTTGCTGTCAGTATAAATGGAATTGAAATTTGTACAAATGCATTAAAACATATGCAATTGTCATTCTGTCTCAATATAAATTAAATAACATGAAATGAATTGAGATTTATTGTAAACAAATTGCAATGCATTGCTTTCTGGGAACTCACAGTAGCAATATCTTACTACTTACAGCATGCAGATGTCTTTGTTTTGAATGAATATGGGGAATTCTTTTCACTGTACTTGGCATAATATTTATCAAGTTGTTGAGACCATCCATTATTGTCACCTAATAAAAAAATCAGATAACATTAAAAAAACATTCAAAACCTTAAACAAAGAACATCACTAAATTCAGTTACATAATCCTTTGCTTAGATTCCTCATGTTTCCTTCAGTAACATCAGCTTTCAGGAATTAACATCTATAAAGGTGGTCAGGGAAGATTCTAAGATTTGAAGTCGACTTGCCACATGCATGTACAAGTTGCTTGTTCCTCACAGAATTCCAGAATTTTGCTGTGAGAGTTGACAAAAAAGTTCTAAATCCATAGAATTATTCTTACAATACTAAAAATGAAAGGTAAGAGGGCATGTCTACACGTTTATTTATGTGCTGTAGTTACTGCTCATTAAGTTCAGTACCTGTTACTAACTAAATGCACAGTAACCAGTGCTACTGTACAGTAGCACCGTCACATGCCTTTTAAGTTATGCTAATGCTCAGTAGACTAATTCTACTGAGCATAAGCACAATAGCATGGCTTTTGCCGTGATGCACTAATGTCCAGTAGAATTAGTCTACTGTGCATTTAGCATATTGTGTAGACGTGCCCAGTGAGACTTATAAGCTTCATCTTGGGAGTACAAGTTTGTCCCTCAACTGTATTTTCTTAAGTGCTTTGGATAGATTAATCTCAATTACTTGATGGGAGTTTCACCATTTGAATGACTGTTTCCAAATATAACAGACTGCATGGTGAGAAAATGTTTTTGACATCTAGCTTTTGCTAAGTGTCTAGGTTAAAGATAAAGGAACAGTAAGTTGGGGAGAAAATAATGATACACCATATTTACATCAACAAATAAAACCTAAATTAACCACACATTTCATTAAATAAAGCAATAATACTAATCTTTGTAATTGGTAAATTTATACAGATAAGATGAAGTATAGCAGGTCAAGGCAATAAAAAAAACCCCTCTTATAATTTCTTTTAGCATATACTGACTTCCAAAATGGTGATACCATGGATTTGGTACAGCACTATTTCTTTGTGTAACCCTGTTACTATTGTATCAGTGTGACAACTTGTGGGCACATCTACATGTGCGCAATTACTGTGCAGTAACCAAAATTACTGCATTGTATGGGCGCACATCTACACATGCATGCCCATACTGCACAGTAAATATGGTGATTTATGCCAACTTGAGTGTAAATTTGATACCTGCATCACACAGGTATCAAATTTATGCCCAATTAGTTACTGTGCAGTGATGTACATGTAAACACCTTACTGAGTAGAAACAGTGTGTGTGTATGCTGATTTGGGACTAAAGTTAGTCCCAAATCAATCCACATAGGATTAATGCACTTTAGCACCTGCATGTGTAGAAACTGGCCTATTCCCACTTACTGTGCAGTAATTTACTGTGCAGTAAATTTAAACAGGTATAAATACATGTGTAGACACACCCTATGGTGCTTATTTGCATACTGCCATTGATATGTAAGGTTGGAATATGGGGATTGTGTCTCTTATCTGCATACCCTCCATCGGTATGCATGGATGAGGGAGTGAAAAGCTATGCTGTGTTTGTTTTCACTGTGATAATGTATTTTAACTGCCTTTACTATTTTGAATATAACAAGCGGGGGAAGCCAGGTTTTTGTGCACTGGCCCTGCCTTCTAAGATTGTAAAGTTATTAAGGGGACTGATACTGTATGAGAAAGTTGAGTAAACGCAGCTGAGGAGTCAGTGCTCACCCTAACTTTTGTGAGAGTCTAAGGTAAAGGGATCCCCAGGTCAGGAATCACGAAGGCAGGGAGAGGCTTTCTTAGGGGAATGGTATTGCATCTCTCAAGTATATATGAACCTCCCAGTCAAGAACTGTGTCAGAATGGGAGTGAGTGAGCTGCAAGGGTACTACAAGAAGATACAAGAAGATAATGGGGAGAAGACAGAGGATGACATGTGGAAGAGAAAATACTGGCATAAACTGTTCAGAGGTGGGACCACTAGAAAGAATGGTGATGATGATGACGACAATGATAAGTGAAAGGACTGGGGAAACAGGTGGGGGAGTTAAGAAAGGGTGGGGGGCCAGATGAAAAAGGGCACTGTGGTAGTCTTCTGTGTGATTGTGACAGGTAAAGGAGATGGTGACGGGCATGCGGGTGAGTGGTTACAACTATTGTAATGGGGATGATGATGGTTTAACTGTAGTTATGTGTCGTGGACTGTCAAGTACACCAGATGGGTCATGAAACAGAACTGTAAAGGTATAGGAAAATATGTATATATATAGTTATTCACATATATAAATATATATATATTTGCAAAAAAAAAAAAGTATTATGTCTCACCATCACAACCATAAAGAGATAAGTGTTGATGATGTACAAGTCCTTTTAGTGGGTTCTGTCTGAACCTGCTACCCACTTGGTCCTAAAGAACTAAAATCCTTAGGGTATTTGCAGGTAGCTGCCAGACCCCAAAGAGCTGAGATTGCATTTAAAAGAGCTGTATTGCCTCTGTAACCAGAAGAGGAGTAGCACCCCTCAACATTACCAAAGGATCCCTAGCAACAGTGAGGAG